ATGATGATCATGGAGGTGACAAGGTAGACCTCAAGGTGGAGACACAGAGCAATACGGTACTGAATGTAGGCCTTCATACGCTGGAAAATCTGACGGGCGAGCTTGATAGCATCGACGATGGTGGACAGACCGGGGGCAAGGAAGACAATATCGGCGGCAGCCTGGGCGGCCTCAGTGGAACCCTCGACAGCGATACCACAGTCAGCCTTCTTGAGAGAGGGAGCGTCGTTGACACCGTCACCAGTCATGGCAGTCAAGTGACCACGCTGCTGGAGCATCTCGACGACCTGGTACTTGTGCTCGGGGAAGACCTCAGCGAAACCATCAGCCTTCTCAACGAGGTCGTGCTGAGCAGAGCCAGCAAGACCACCGTGGATCAGACGCTCGGAGTCGTAGACCTTGGTGGAGAGAGCAAGCATCTTGCAGGTTTCCTTGGCAATGGCAAGAGCATCACCAGTCAACATCTTCACGGACAGACCGAGGTGCTGGGCCTCAGCGATGGTGTGGGCGGTATCCTCACGAGGGGGGTCGAACATGGGGTACATGCCCAGCAGTTGCCAGGGCTCGCCCTCCTTCTGGACGGCAACACCGAGGGAACGGAAACCACGACGAGCGAACTCAGCAGCCTTCTCACGGAACTTGTCGGCCTCCTCCTCAGAGCACTGGGACATGTTGAGGATAGCCTTGGGGGCACCCTTGGCGCAGACGTAGCGGACACCATCGCAGGTACAGATGGTGGTGATACGCTTGGAGACGGGGTCGAAAGGAGTGTACTTCTCGGTGACCCAGTTGCGGGCGAGGATCTCACGGGCCTTGGGGTAGCGACGGAGGGTCATGATGGTGACCTTGTCGATGGGGTCGAGGTTCTTGATGTTGTGGTTGGAGGCAATGGCAGCAACAGCCATCATCCAGTTAACATCGACACCCTCGTTGACGTAGGGCTCACGGATGGAGAGCTGGTTGGCAGTAAGGGTACCAGTCTTGTCAGAGCAGAGAATGTCGACACCAGCAAGGGACTCAATGGCAGTGAGCTTCTGGACGATAGCCTTCTGCTCAGCCAAGTAGGCAGCACCGACAGCGAGGGTGGTGGTGGTGACGACGGGAAGACCGACGGGGACACCAATGATCAGGAGAATAAGGGTGTAGTGGAGCAAGTTGCGGTCCTCGTTCTCGGGAGTAGCGATCTTGAGGTGACGGTAGAAACCACCGATCCAGGCAGCGAGAATCCAGAACATGACAAGGACGAGCAGGGTGGTACCGATGTTGTCCATGACAGCCTTGAAGTGACCCTGATCCTGGGCACCCTGGACGAGAGCAGCGGTCTTACCGACGAAAGAGTGGCGGGCGGTGGCAGTGACAACAGCGTAGGCCTTACCACGCTTGCAACCAGTGGTGTAGTAGCAAGTGTCAGCCATGTACTTGTCGACAGCGAGAGATTCACCAGTGATGGCGGACTGGTCAACGGCAACAAGGGAGACACCGGCACGGGCCTCAATGCCACCATCCTCGTCGTCCTCATCCTCCTTCTCCTTAAGGGTGTCATCGCCAACGGTGGCGAGGTACTCCTTGTAGGTCTCGAAGTTCTCGGGCTTGTCGTAGTCACAGATCAGGCGAATATCGGCGGGAACGACGGTACCTTCCTCGACGACGATCTATAGAAAAGTGGGTTAGAAAGTGCTGACAGAGTTGACAAGACATTGGATAAACATACAATATCACCAGTAACCAATTCACGGGCAAGGATTTCCTGTTCCTGACCATCACGAATAACGATGGCCTTCATAGCAATATCACCCTTGAGGGAAGCGACAACGTCGGCAGCCTGCTTCTCCTGGTACCAACCGACAACAGCGTTAAGCATAAGAATACCAATGATGACACCGAAATCGATCCAGTCACGAAGACCAGCAGCAAGGAGGACAGCCAATTCCATAACTATAGCACTGTTAGTATCCCAGCCATGTCCTGTCAGAGTCGATTGCCTTACCATAAAGAATAGGACCACGGAAGTAACCAATGAACTGAACGAAGAAGTTGGTCTTCTCGGTGGTCAGCTCGTTCCAGCCGGTACGCTTGCGACGAGGCTCAATGTCGCTGGAGCGCAGACCGGAGCGCATGTCGGTCTCGAGCCAGTCATCGGGGCAGACGAAGCCTTCCTCCACACCATCACTCTTCTTGCCGAAGAGGGAGAAACCCTTCTTCTTCTTGCCGGCACTCACGCCACCGGCACTAGCAGTCGAACCGCGGCGCTTGTCGGGGGCGGTCGAGATGTAACGGTTCAGTGCGGCATACTCGTCGAGACCAGCACCATCATCAAGTTGAGGGGCGCGAGAATGGTCACCATTCTCCACGTCAGGAGCATAGGAAATCCTCCGCTCCGCCATTGTTGCTACGGCTCACACAGCCTTCGAACCCAACGATATGAGCAGACGCAAACAAAAAATGACGGGAATGGCAAGAGTCGGATAGTCCTATGAAGAAGAGAAGAAGAAGAGAGGGGAGCGAAGGGAGGGAATGTACTCTTTAATATTTGGGGGTGGGCAGCCTTCAATTGCACGGGACCAGACAAACACGTCTGTCTTCTCTAAGCTCCAACGGGCGACCTTCCCTGTGCGTAAGCCCACTTTTTTTTTTTTTTTTCGCCTTCCTCCATTTTATTATTTTTTGATTTTCCGATTTTCCGTTTTTCTTTTTTCTCTCATTTTCTTTTTTACTTCATTTAATTTTCTCCAACTCGGTCTAGTCTTGGCCGGGAGCAGCAGTAGCCACTTGATCGAAAGTTCGCTGTCCCTGGTAAGGTAAGGTTGTGACTGGGACCCGCTTTTTGCCTCCCACGCACACACATTTTTCTGCTTAACCCGACGCATCGCTAGTGCCGAGTGAATTTCAGATGATTATTTATTTTTTGTTTTTCATTTTCCCGCTTCCATTACCTTGTCTGGGTTGCCCAGCCCAGTTTGCCAAGTGGATCCCACCTCCCGGATCGAGCCTAGTCTGGGCCGTGGAAAAACTCTGACTATACCCAGACGGTCACCCAATGATACGGCATCTTACGCCGTTCGCCTTTACCAGTCTCGCTGTCTCGATCTCTTACTGAATGGCTTCTTGTTGCTTTGCTCCATGACCGGCAGCGCTGTGCCGAGTTCGCCCCCCCTCTCCCCTCCCTCCTCCACTCTCGCTCGTTCCCCTACCGTAAATCCTGGGGAGAACAAGAAGGATGAGGACTCCCCGTACGCACCCGATACACTGGTCGGGAGGAGCTTGTCTCTATTTCCTCGGAGCTCACTATGGACCTGAGGTATGCTACTGGTAAGATACGGGTACGAGAGCCGACAGAGGACGGCTCTGTCGGCCTTTCGGCCAGCCCAGGGCGCTCTCTTTTTCCACTTGGGAAAAGAATTCCTTACCGTACGGACAGTACCGTGTGAATGGCCTTTTTGCCGCGTGCGGGTGGTGGCCCTTGTTAATTTTCCTGATCCTTTCCCTACTCTCGCTCTCTTTACTATGCGCGATTTTTTCTCGTCGCCTTTTGACCCTCGCAATTGATGAGAGTAATAGTAATAACCCATCCCAATCATGCTATTTGCTTGTTGGTAAGTCAATCGGCATTGTCTGGCCGAGACCAACAGAAAAGAAACCAAAAAAATTAAAAGGATAGATAGAAGGAGACAGAAAGAAAGGGACACATACATACATACATACATAACACACATACACACTATCAAACCCTCTATGTGTTAATCATTGGCATATTTCTTCTGTTTACTCCGTAGCACCTGGCGCACAGCGATGACATCGGACTTCATAGTTTCAGTAGTTCCCTTGCAGAAAAGAAATGATCGTTGCCCTTCTTCTTTTCTTCTGCCCACAAGAGGGATGAAAGGGACATGATCTGAGGAAAACCAAGGACCGCTACAGACGAGACATACATACACTATCTGACTACTACCTAGTTAACGAACTAACTAACCTTACCAACTAAAGATATGAATCAGCGTCTCTCTTTTACTTGCTGCGAAATACTCCGATCGTGAAGCGCTGGAATGACTGGTTTCCCTGTGCCACAGAGTAGCAGAGCCAGGGCCGTCCTACCCGATCTTGGAACCACGAGCTGAGCCAAACGGGAACGCAAGGGGCGAGTTCCAAGAACTTGGATGATACCATTTCCGGCCATGCAGGGTCAAAACAATTTCAGCTAGATAGATAGTCTACTTACACCCTACGACTGACTACGTTTTCTTCGATTCTTTCGATTCTTTCTTCAGTCTACGGAATTAACTGACATCATCGTCGCATGTCGTAGGTGGCCGTGGTCGGTGCTGTCAGACGATCCGTTTTGAGTTCCCATTCCTGGTGCCGATTGACCGTGTCTCGGGGAGGGAGGGGACACACCAGGAAATGAAGAGTAAGTAAAATGATGATGAATTCATGGTGGTGATGATCGTGCCGACTCGGGAACTGACTCCATTGCCCGCCCGGTGCGCGGCCCCGTAGAAGGTTAGTAGGAAAGTAAAGTGGAAGTAGGTATCTAGGTCAGAATGAGCCGTACACACTACACAGAAAGTAAACAGCTGCCCCCTTCCCTTATCCAAATCCAGAATTATGTCATCAGGATTATTTCTCCTGTGCGATCATTTGTTATCGGTGGGATGGATGGATGAATGGATGGGATGATTTGATTGCCATCCCATAATAATAATTATTATTACCATGCAATTACCATTGCGAATCGCACCCTTCGTTATCTTCCGCCTACGCACTTCCCGAGTTTGTCCCCACGCGCCTCGCTGTGGCCCCCCCCCCTTCCTTCTCTTCCTCTGTCGCTCTCTGTCTCTTTCTGTCCCTCTCATATGAGCATCGCTATTATTATGATGGTGATTGTTTCTCACAATCTCGCACTAACGCCAACCTGGAGTCGATCGTCCACCATTTTCCAACCATCCCATCCTGTGAGCGTGTGACGACGGGGGAGGGGAGTGGAAGGTGTGCTGCTCTCCACCCTCCTTATTTACGGCGCGCCAATCCCATGCATCTAGCCCTGATTGAGTTTCATCCGATTTCCTCTCGTGGGGAGCCATGGGCTCCATCGGAGAGCGTCATTTTTGTCTGACTGGTTGACGTCGGGATGCGACTCCGCCGGCTAGGTACTCGGGACTCCAGTCTAGGATTATTTGCTCCCATTGTTGCTGGGGGACCCGTATCATTGGTCTGGTCTTGCTATCAAGTGAGTAAGATTACTTACCTTACTCTCGGCCCTGCTATCGTCGCATTATTTATTAGCCAAGTCTGGCAGCAGTAGTAGCAGCAGTAATAATGAAATGAGCGCAGCAATATAGTTTCATGATACAACAATAGTAGCCATAATAGCCTCGTCTGGGCATTGGTCGTTTTCGTATAGACGGTGACTTCATCTGTGGCCAAGGCTGATCGCATACCATACCGAAACCCCAGTTCCAGATGGTCTCCGCAGATAACCCTGCTGCTGCTGCTGCTGCTGCTTCTGCTGCCGCTGCCGCCGCCGCCCATTGTACAGAGCACGTTGCGACATTTTTCCAATCTTGCTCGATTCGATTTCGATTTCGATTTTCGATTTTCGATTTCTTTCCTGGGCGTTTTTTCTACGACGCCATCTGGTTGACAGGTTGGCTTGGAAGGATGTGGGAAGCATGCATGCATGGCCACGACCCCAGCGAACCAAGATTTTTACATCGTTTTCCCTTCCAGATGGATGCAACTGGTTGCGTCTATCATGTTAACCTTACCAGCCAGCCCAATTTTCTCCCCTCCTCCTCCTTCTACCGATTCTACCCGTGCTTCTTCTCCAGATAATGAGTAGTTAGCCCAGACCATCTATCTATTCGATACCGTCAAGCAAAGCAAATCAAACCACTAGCAGTAGTAGCAGCAGTAAAAAAAGAAACGCGCCATTTTCCCATCAGCCCAGCCCAGCTCAGCCCAGACAAATCAGGATCTCTCCGGAATTCCCAGGAAAAGCAATCTATCTCCCTCAGGGATACACACGGAAGTCCCGAAAGGAAGGAAGAAAACTGCATAGTACTTGTGATTATTGGAAAATGGCTTGTCTGACAAGAAAAAAGAAAGAAAGATATGCATGCATGCACGGCATTAATCCACAACCACGTAGCCCGCGTCCGGGCGCTGCGCGCGCCGCCGCCGCAGCGCCCCAGATCGCCTGACAACGTACATACTAACTAACCATCCATCCATCCATCGATGATTGTTCCAGTTGTTTTCCAGTGCCTTCTCGCTATTAGACTTTTTTTTCCGTTTGATGATGGTGTCGTCGATAAACAGGGAATTCCCATGTTCGTGACTTCTTCCTCCGCATTTCATAAGCTTTCAGCGCGCATAAGGCTTGTCTTGGACTCAAGTCACTCTCAAGGTAATACTTAAATGAGTCTATTTTGTTTTTTGGCCCTTTTTGGTAGTTTTGCCAAGATGGTGATCCGTTGTCGGGTTATGGTATCCTTGTTCAATCTTGTTCTGCCTTTCTCCTCCTCCTCCACATTCTTTTTCGGTGGTTGGGCTGGTTAGTTGCTGCTGTCCGAATCCGGATGATGGGGTTTATCTCCAAGCAACGCCGTAGATATTCTTAGTAGGTTCGGCTTTCCGCTACGCTACGTGGGCGATTCAGAGTGATGCAACTGCGTATGGTATCTACGGAGTAACATTGGCGATAATTGTTCTTGGCTGGCTCTACTAGTTGTAGAATAGCATCTCTCGGAGTTGATGGGTTCGACTAGTAGTACGTATTCTTCTTCGATGATCCCTACTTGGGTTCTCCATAATATATATCCCATCAATTTGAGGCTCGAGATTGACCACTCTATTGTAATATACAGCCTTACCTTACCCCCATCTATCTATTATATACCATGTGAAGATCAGTGGGATGGATATACACAGTACTACGTAGTAATCTTCTAACTATTACTCGGACGATAGAAACTTATTTGCTTATTCCAAACAAACACAAAAAAAGCTTCGGAATGTAAAAGGGTTCAACTTTAAGCCACCCAACTTACTCCGTGCTGAGTAGTAGCAGTAGGATGATGGGGATGGGATTCACCGTCATCCCGACCGGGTCTCGATCGATACCGCCCGCACTCAGCTCCCACCCAAGTCCGAACGAAAGAAAGCCCTGAACCAAATAACGCATATCCATTCACCCATTCATCCAACCCCAGACGCGGGCGGGATAAAATCCGATGATGTTTGTGGAGGAGGAGACATCCCATCCGCCCAACCATACCTGCAGAATACTACACTTACTGCATCTCCCGTAGGTAAAGTATTTCATCGGGCGGGCGGCCTCGCGCCCCATTCATCCATCACATCACATTATGGTTGCCGTACCATCCATCCATCCCAACCAACATGAGAGAGCTCTGAAAAGGCGACCGTACACATGCAAGAGAAAAAACCATGGCATGGCATGGGGTCAGTGAGATTTTTTCCCTTTCACGCGGATCGGATTCATCCTGTTTTCCCCTCCCTTTGCTCCGATGACCTGAATATCACACTACTATCTATCCATCTAACTACTACTTACTGTATCAAGGTAAGGTCTAACTGGGCTGAGCTGAGCTGAACTGAACTGATCAGCCGCGGGGAAATAAAATAACACTCTACCTCCTACATTACCATAAAATTAACTCAAAACCACATGCAAGTTTACTGTAGCATCATCACTAACCTACGGAGGGTAATCCCGCTTCATCTACTGCATTCTCTCACCGTGACGCTCACCTTAGTCTACGCACTTACCCTAGGCCAAAGCAAAGCAAAGCAAGCAAGCCAACAGAAGCCCGAAGTTTAATCCCGGAGTTCGAAATGAATGAATGATGGAGGAGAAGGATGAGTTATACCTAATTCAGATATGATATGATAGTTCCGGTGCTACTTACTTAGGTACACCGGGGTTTAAGTTAGTTACTTAGGTTGGTTAGTAAGGTTCAGTTACTAGCTAGGGAGAAGGAAGATGGGGGTGGGTGGTTGGTTTCGCCTCGCCCGACGGGGCCGATTGAGCGGTTTCCGCGGTTTGGGTGGTTAAGTTACTTAGATAGGTAGGATGATGATTCTGGATGGATAGGGCATAGGGAGATTCCCTCACGGGGGAAGTTTCGCCGTTGGGTTATGTTCCTGACGAATGGGAAGGTACCGCATGTTGTAGTAGTAATGGTGATGGTGATGATGATGCTATTCCCGATTATGCTACCATTGTTAGTAGTTACTACTATGGTCAAACTGGTGACTACCATTAGCTAACTCCTCGAGTAATGAGTTAGATAGCATACATACGCAATTAGTACCGTGTACAGCCCGTGCACCACCCAACCGCCCCCAAATCATCATCATCACCCGGATGCCGCAGTCCATGGTGATCAGAATTCCGGGGGATTCTCACCCTTGCCCGGTATTATTACAGGGATAAGGGGGGAACTTAGTATCCGTAGTAGGCCTGAACTTGAACCTGGGGCAGCAAGGCAAGGCAAGGCAAGGCAAGACAGGGTCGGTATGCAAAACAAAAACAGAACAACAACAACCCACGTCAGCCAAGACTCGAAAACCGACTCCTCCCCCAGCCATCTGGAAAATACCAAACTACAGGATCCTATCTATGCTACTTTACTATTTCTGGGGTTCAAAGGGGGGGAAGAGGCCCATAGAAGGTCAGCTGAGGGGGGAGGAGTTGTTAAGTTACTATGGAGAAAGAAAGAAAGGAAGTCATCCCACATCCCACACTTTTCACCCCCTTATGTGTTGTCTGTCCCATTTTACCCCATCCCCAATCCCATCTCATCCCATATTTTCCCCAAAGGCCAAGACCAGACCAAAAGTCAGGGCCAAGGCCAACAGTAGTAAACTACTTAGTCAGTGAAAGGTAGCTATCGTGGAGTACACTAAACCAAACTCATTTCTCCATTGCTCTAACACAGTTAGACTGTAGATAGATAGATTACTTGGAGAGTAAATAATAATAATAATCCCACGAATATACTTAACTGTAGCTAACTAGATAGAGAGATTGAGATACTTTTAGATAAAAAAACCCCAAAGTGGATAATTCAGAACCAAAAACCCGCAAACCCAGTACCTGGATTCTCCGTCACACTAGTCCCAATCCAGGATTACTTACCTTCTTAGCCGAAGTGGAGCACCCACCCACTCACCGGAGTGGTATGGGCGGGCGCGTGGAAATAAGAGACCTGTTGTGCGTCCCCCCATTTCGTGTTTTTAAAACCGCACTAGTACCTGGTACCTCGCCTAGTCGGGAAAGTACCTTTACCTTTACCAAACTAATTCACTTCCCGAAGTGTAACTAAGTCTACTAAGTGTGTGTTGCAAAAAAGGCTCCCCACATACGCAAACCGTGGAACGGGTTGAGGTGAGTGAGGTTTTTCCGTCGGGATGTCAGTTCTGGCTGCTGTCGCTTGTCGTCTGTCTGTCTGTCTGTCCCTGAACCATAGGATGGGAGGTGATGGTAATCGCTCTTGGTTCGTTGGTCGTGGTGATGGTCGTTTCGTTGTCGACATTTGGGTTTGGGGTTGTTTCGAATTTCTTTCTTATTGCTTGGGACCTTTGTATCAGGGTTTGAGGTTATTTGGTCCTGCTCTCCGTAGTTAGGGTATCTTTGTTTGTTCGTTGAAACCGTTCTCTGACAGCTGGGCTGAAGTGAGATATGGCGTTGTCCGTTGTCGTCGTCTAGTTAATTTACTTAGATGATACTAAACTACCCATACTGATATTGACTGACTTCCCTTCGGGAAGGTGAATCGAGCTACGTACCTACGTACCGTACCTACTTACTCCGGACGTGGAGCCCTACATAACAATGCATGGAGACAGGGGACACGTGAGGGATGCCAACCCAGCAGCAAGCAAGCATTCTGCATGATCGCAACAAAAGAAACAACCAAAAAAAAAAGGGTTTCGAGAACGGTCAAAGAAGGTCAGTCATCGGTATTGCCGGTGTGGGTTGAAAGACCGAGACCGAGACCGAGACCCTCCCCGCGTCGTCCATCATGACTTAACAAAGGAAAATATGGAGAAATCAATCAGTCACAAGTTCGCCTCATAGTGATGGATGACCACACAATAGTGCATGATATTATATCCCGCAATGGAGCCATAGTCCATACAAAATGGAAAAAAGTGAGGCTATTCCGTGCGGGCGCGCCACTGCCAAAGTCCGGAGTAGTAGACCGGAGTACGGAGTAGATAGTAAGAGGCTAACTCCCACTACGGGTTAGACTAAGTAACTAGCCCGCACTTCCCCGAGCGCGGACTAAAATACCTTAGTAATGGGGCTTATCAGGGCAATTGATTGATTGATTGATTGTTGGAGGAGGGGCCCAAGATTTGTCCACAGTAGTAGTAGTACTCCGTAGTAGTAGCGCCATACTCAGTCGGGAAGGACTGACTTGGGACTCGACTGACTGGTCGCCACCGGACCAGCCGAATGCAAGGCCCCAAAAAAGTGAGGGGCAACAAGGACCTTCTGACCGCATCGAACCCGCAGATTCGCCGTTCTCGACGTTTTCTAGAAGGCTTCGACTGGGGCCCTTGGAGCCAGTTAGCTGCATTTCCTTGTCCAGACGATTCTTCTTGGTTTTGCCGCTCCGAAATTTTGGGGTGAGGGTTCGAGATCAGAGAATTTTTCTGGGGCTGACATGGCACATCGGATGTCGGCAGCAGGGGAGTTTGTTGGCCACTGAATTGGGATTTGTCGAGGGGTCATGGCCACTGGGGAGATGGGGGGGAGTGGGTGCTACGTCATAATCGGCAGTCCGATAGGGAAATCGGGTAAAGTCATAGTGTTGGTGGGATTGTCCTTATTATTGATTTCGGCCTCTGGGGCAATTTGCCAATAATTAATGCGACTTTTGGTGGCTTTCTTCTTTGAGGGACTCGCAAAGCACAGTCAGTAGTCAGTCAGGCCAGTGTGTTGGCTAATGGATGGGGGCAACGAAATTCCCCTTCGGGATAAGGTCGGCTACCCGTAAGGATGCTAAACCAGTTTCGGCCGACCCTCTCGTACGAGCCGTGTATAGATGACGGGGGTGAGACAATTATCCGCACGATGACGGCGCGTGTTGGCGCGTATGACAAGAGTCATGGCTTACACCTCGTAATCTTTACTACATTCTATCTTCATCACCTACTAGACTACTTGCAGGTAGAGATACGACCTTAGGTAATACAGGTTTCGGCACAATGGCAATTGTTCCGTCAGTCGGTGCATAAAGAAAGCAGCAGCACGAACAAATGACCTCGAAAATGCGATCACGACCACGGGCGTCCGTGGAGCGCCCACTAGATACCACTAGGCTCGTTCTTGGCTTTCTGGTACCTACAGTAGTGACCAAGACTAGACGGCTAGTCAGTTGGTCACTCCATCGACTCAGCGCGGTAACGGGGCCAATTCCTCCCACTTCACCGACGTTAATTACGAATACAGTTAGCGGCCCCCAATAATGATACCAATCGCGGTCCCAACTCGCCGCGAGCCTGCCTTTCCTCTTCCCTTCCCCCCACCGGGCGATCGCCCGTGCCAAGCTGTCTCATCGAGGATCCTGGTGAGGGATTTTCTGTCGGACCTGGTCTGCCCTCGTTCACCCGAGGTTCAAGGATAGCAGCAGTAGCACCCTCCTCCATCCAACATCCCAGTCGCGCATCGGACCTCCGCGGTCGAGGTACTTGCTGCAGTAGCGGACAATCGATCGCACAACGCCTTTGCAAATGGAGATGCTCGTGCTGCCAGCACCATTGCCAAGAGCACCAAGAAAGTGTTGTGTTCGATAGATAGTACTATCCTCCTGCAAAGTATCATACTATCGAAGGATACTATTGCTATTGCAGCATTGGCAGTACGATGATGACGACTAATCAGTTACTTAGTGGGAGGGGACAGTCCTTGACCATTGACTACTCACAGCTACACGTATGTACCTGCCCCCACGGGCGGGAGGAAGCTCCGACTGTTCATCGGAGATCCCAATCGAGTACGAGGATGCGCCATCGTCATTCGTCAACGGGCCAGCCGTCGTCCCCAGCAGCAACAGATGCTGGATATTAGCAGCAGCAGCGCAATTTTAGCCCGCTCCAATTACCCTCAGTAGCTCGATACCAGTCTAGCTACAAAGCAGCTAGCTGGGCTGCGTACGTCGTTTCTCAAACCTCGCCGAGCTCCAACGCTCTGACGACAACCACTAAAGAGCTACTGCAGGAGCTTTATCGTCCTTACCTTTTTGACACCTCCGGAGAAGACTTGCTGGCTTGTATGAGAGATTTTTTAACCTCATTTCCATTCCGCATCCGCACGCGCGCGCCCCAGCGTGCCACCGTGGCAGCTAACCCACCATCTATTGATGACGCGCCGTGCTTTGCAGAACTGCTTCTGCCCAGTGACCAGCAGAATCCGATAAATCGGTTAGTTAGTTAGTTTGGTTGCTTTCTAGCAGTGCAATTGCCCTTGGTTATTCTTCCGGGCTGCTGTGCGTATGCTTGGATCGGGTTTAGCCCGAGCCCTCCCCGACTCGGGGAATTATTGCCCGTCCGTACCTGGGCGACTTGCTGTTGGCCAGTCTTGGAAGTAAGCTACGGTCGGCGAAATTGGTTAGAACTAGAATTAGACTGCAGAGTTTCGATGCAGAGAGCTATTTTCCGGACATAGCTAGATATCCAGTCTAGATGGACTAGTTAGATAGCAATGAAGCGCGGCAAGCCGGATCGATAGCACTAGATGCTTCAGGTCGCTCCCTGCCTATCATGGGCCGACCGGTGACAACTACTGCATCATGGACAATTAGCTACCGATAGGGAAGAATACCCTGGTGGAAGCGAGAACCCAATAGTTAGTCAATCAGTAGTAGACATGGAACAGTCCAAAACGACCGGGTCTGGAACGGATATCGGCAGGACAAGATGGAGGGATACCGAACTCGCAACGCAACAACCAGCCAGCTTATCTGTGTCAAATAGCTTACTAGCTAAGTAAGTAACTAACTAGCTACCCCTCCTCGTGCAGCTCTCCCACCAGACAAAATAGATTAGTTACTTAAGTGACTGCCGGGCTGACAAGCCCACCCTGGGGTGATGGTGGAACGCCATTTGCGCTGCAAATGCGCTCAATCACGCACACGACTCCCCAAGTAAGTTAGCCCCAAATGAGTGCGTGAATTGAATTGAAATGAAATGAGTGGGTGGAATCATCATTATCCCTCACTCAACTTCGGCGCGTATGAGCAAATGCCCATGTCTTGCCTTGTCGGCCTTTCTCCTCGGCATATTCGGCCCTTCCCACTCAGTAGTCAGGGTCGCCGAAGTTCTACTACTATTTTACTGGGTGGTAACTAACTGCTAACGGGTCTGGGCTAACTACGCGACACGGGAATCGGCACGGGCGCGCCGTTTTGGAGACAAGACATAGACTGGCACCAGAGTTTGGTTTACCCCCTCCCTCCAATCATACATTCGCCCGTTCATATCCATCCATTCAGGGCGTTTTACTTTATCCCTCTCCCCCCAGTCTGTTGTCTCCTTTTCCATGGTTGGATGTTGTCGGGTATGAACCGTGGTACTGGACCGAAAGTCCATGTTCAATGTTGGGTGTGAAGAATTTTTCCGGAATAGAGTGTCGGGTGTGTGAAGCGATGGATGTAAGGCTGAAGTGAGGGAATAAATCTGCCGGGTTGCTTTTTGGAGGAGACGTGTCTGATGGAGGGAGGGAGGGTTGGGTAGGGATACGTAGTACTGTAGTAGTGGTGATGTCTCATGTCTATTGGGTGTGGTAGTTTGTCTGATACACGTTTAACTTTGTTGCCAGACGTAGTAGTATCTCGTAGTAGCCTACAGCTTTGAGTGTGTATGGATCGATGCCAAGGGATCACCAGCATGGATTATTGTGTCTAATTAAGTACTCCGTACCTGGATGTTCATATATGTATTGAGTACTTTTGTGCAGGTTTGGGCACCCCGTGATATACACTTGATATTATATACGTTCTACAGAAGTATCTCACTAGACAGCAGTAGCAAGTAGTAAGTGTAGTATATTCAAGACAAAACAACCATTCATGTCTCTCTGCAGCACAGTGCAGCAGCAGTCTGCTCCGACCCTGATTTCAATCACCCTGTTTCAGTATATATCCCGTGCCTACATCCTCTATCCAATACATATGTAGGTACCCCTTCTTGCATCAATCAGAAGTAGGTACCATCGATCAACATCATACCCAAGGAAGAATAAGTATCGATGATCTGACCGACTATTCTAGTACCTGGCTTGTCTTGTCTCATCTCCATCATCCCACCGCTCGACTCACATGCCATGTTTTACATGAAGTTTAATTATCGGATCATTGTCTGATACACCCACATCCACTATATATTTCCAGAAGGGGCAGGTTAATCGAACAGACAGACGAATCTGCAGTAGCCACATGGATAAATTATAGATGGAGATTATACATACGTACATTAGGGAAGTCATATCATCTAAAAGGGAAGGAAGGATAATAATGATGTAGATCGGTGTGGTTTGAGTTTTTACGGATATAACTATCCGTTTTCTAGATGTGTGAAGAATCGATCAATTAGGTAGGTAGTTAACTATGTATACCTGCATATGATGTCAGATAGACACTTGGTTACTAACTACCACTCTGGTCCGTGACTACGGAGTAAGTATGTCTGATGTGATATCCTAATATACTCCGACTCCGTTTCGTATGAGGGTCCGACGGGACAAAGTCGTGAGACAGTAGTTACTACTTGGCAGGATGGATAGAGTTTTCCTGAACTTAAGTGATAATAATAATAAAATAAGGTTAACTTGAGGAAGTATTTGCCGAGTGAGTTATCCCCGTCAGGATAATCCGTATCCCTGATGTGATTGTGATGGTGATGCTGATGTGGAAAGATGATATCAGATCGACAGTTCATCAGGGGGCTGGCTGGCTGGCTGCCTTTCTTGCCCTGGCTATCTACATTTGCGAAGATGGCATCTAAGCGAGAAATGATTTTTGTAAATTAGGAAATGAAGAAAGTATAATCCATATTCAAAATGAGATACTAAGTACGTACTACTAGTAACCGAACAACTCAAGATATACTATCACACGAATAATACTCCATACAGCCAAGCAAAATCAAAGAAATAAAAAGCAAAAAACAAATAAGTAACTTAACCCGCCCCTCGAAAACGTGACTCTCCCTCTTACAGTAGTAAGTAGTAGTAGGTTTACCCCCTTTCCAAGCCAATAGTTATGCAGATTGTTTTGCGCCAAGCGGGAGATGTGCAGTCTTCAGCAAGGCTTTTTCTTGGCGGTTTTGTCTATCATCCATCCCTTTTTTGATGTGCGAATAATTAATTGCCAGGGTGGGATGTGCACGGTTGATAACGAGGCAGTGTCTGTAGCTTACTACTAATTATAGAGTGTAATGAAAATGACTTGATTTTGGGGTGGTTGTTGTTATCAGTGCAACGAGTTACTTGTCTGGGTGTAGTGTTGACGTTTATGAAGGTGGTGGTGGTGGTGATGACGGGTGATGCAGCTTGGCGGGAGTTGTTACTACTTACTACAGTATGTCGTTCAATTCGTGTTTCGCTTACAGGAAATAAAGCAAGAATAGTAGAGAAAGACATAGTAAGAATCTCTTTGTCTAGGATTATATTCCATACAACAAAGAACCGGCCATATACTTCAACAACATACTAGTAGTATACTACAGTGATTAATAGACATTCCCACCAGTTCATCAACCCAGTTTCTACCCCATACCCCATATCACCACCACCAACACCATAAGTAAATTAACTAACTCAACCCCAACCCCATCTGTTCATCCTCCATAATCTCCATACCAAACAAACAAACAAAGTTACCCCTTTCTTCTCCCCCCCTCTTATCTCCCCGCCAAGCCCTGCCGTGCATTCCTCCCTTTTATTGTTCTTGGCAAAGGGGCGTATCTGCTGCCTCCTGCACCGCCCCTCTCCTCCCTTGTAGAGTGTAATGCAGCCAGCGGAGAGGGGGAAGGATGGGGATCATCATCATCATCAATCACAGCACAGCATAGCACAGCCCAGCCCAGCACAGCCTGAAGTTTGAGTCGCGGGTGATCAACAGTGAGAAGTGTAGTAGTTGTTAACCTTCTGCAGGGTTGATCAGATGACTAGTAGGCTACAGTATATACTTAATATAGAGTTTGATGGATGGGTTGTTTACTTATAGGCATCTACACAAATGGTAAAAAAGAGTAATCAACTACGAAGTGATCAAACGAGGAATTACTTAGAGAATTGAATCAAATACTTGGCAGGTATAGTAAGTGGTCGTCATCACTTTCATGCTGTGCTCTGTAGGGATACGTCATACAGCATGAGAAATCTGGGTAGATGCATATGTGTACAGTCTGTATGTTTGTATGTATGTATGGTAAGAATGGGATGGAATAGAATACTTACAGTATTACTGATAGTAAATGGATGGATGGATGGATGGATGGTGTTACACGACATGTTAATTTCCTTCCTACATACACTCACACATACATACATACAGCTGCGCCTATACCCCAACCTCACTCATTCATTCATCTCTACCTCCAGAGACAAACAGACATATCTCAGAAGTACCAAGAGATTAGAAGAGTAAGTCAGTATACAAGCGAATCACCTCCCACCACGAATTCAACCAACTAAGTAACATACAAACTCTAACTCTATTCCCTTCCTCTGCATACCACCTCTCCTCATCTTCATGTACAGTAGATAGAAAGTATATGCACAATAACCCTACCTACCCAACCTCTTACAATATTTTCCTTCCTGCATTGCATGACGTTACAACCCTTCCAATTTACTATCCGTAGATATAAATCCATAGATGGAATCTTGGCGGTATGGAATGTGCATTGCAGTATGTATGTATGCATGTACGCCGTAGTGATGGGTGATGATGATGCTGCTGCTTTCTAGCCATTCTAGCCTGCTTCTGGTCCCTTGGGTCGTGCCGGTCTGGATTGCTGGGCTCGTACTTGGCTTTTCGTTTTGAGTTTTGGCGTGCTTGAGGTAGTGCTGTCATGTTGTGCTATCATCATCATACTGCAGTCGGTGAGCGGTGGATGGATGGATGGGTCAGATGGTGGTGTTCGGGTCAGTGGAATGGAGGAATTGGGTTGGGTGTGTGAGTTTATTGTAGTTGTAGGTGTGATGAAGGTTTACGGTGGTGTGTTATAGATGAGGAATAGTGGTGATTTTATGAGTTGTTGTAGTTGTGAGTAGATAGTATATATTATAACTGTGCAATGATATATATACAATCCCAACATCCATCCAGACGGGCTCAACTTCATAGCAGAGCCGATATATTTATATGAGTTCATATGTTCAAGCAATTTTAGATCATATATATATGTATATATACCTCGATACTCCTCTCTCCCGCCAGTATGTGCACTGTGATCCCAGTTCTATACCAAGACTGCCGATGCAACGGTGTCACTGGGATGTCCATTGTTATCCCCCAAACGGAAGGGTGCAGTCCTTGGATCTTGTGCGAGAGATATCATTCTGTTCGCGATAACATCCGAGACAGACTTTCAATCGAACACGGTGGGAATCTGTGGTTTTATATCGAACCTCCATGAGAACGGGCGTATGACAATGCAGCACGACTGCTGCCATTATGCTCTTCCAAGCTCGGCCTGGTGGTCTAGCCAGGTCGATGAGCATACAATAACTCCCAGATGCTCTTGTAGCCCCATCAAGTCATCACCATGGCATGACTGTTCGATTGAACATTGCTGCTGGAGATGTCTTGGATAGACCTAGGCTAGACTAGCATCTTCCCAAGAACAACATCCATCATGACAATAAACCCAGCGAAACTGTAAGTTACCTAGAATTTAATCTTCATCCCCACCGAACAAGGCACCATCGCCCCCGGCATACTCCTCTCAATGGCAAACTTAGCCCTCCACCCCGAGCAATGCCCCGGAAGAATAACCGCAGGATCCAGCCTCTTCAGATCCCTAACGGTACTCTCCAACTGTGACGCCTCACTAGTAGCAAGATGAAAGCCGCCAACAATAGCATGTAGAGGGTCCTCGCCGTCCAGCGAGTCCACCGCATGCTGTGCGCAATTGACCACACCGGCATGACTGCACGCAGTGAACATGACGATGCCTTTGTCTAAATAAACCAGTCAGCCACAGCACATTGATCCAAAGGATCTGACATACCCTTAAGCCTACACATCAAAAACCTCTCATCCGCAATCCCCTCATCCGAGAACCAATCCTTTGCTTCCGCATCGAACCTCATCCCCCCCTTCAATCCATGCTCATACCCCGTCCGTCGCGGAATCTCCCCCGAGATGAAGAAGAAGTCATCGAGGACGGTATGCGCATCAGCATGTTTCTGCACCGTGCCTCCGGCAGCTTCTAACTCCTCGAAGGTGGGATCAGCCTGCAGCGAGATGATATTCTGGCCGATAGCCATGCCTCTGTAATCCGGTCGATCGGGGTGAAGATCAACCACCGTCGTGGAGGCATTCCCGCTGGCTTTCTTCTTCTTAGCATCTGTAACCATCTCAATGGCTCGTTGGAGACCACCTATACCACCTTTAGCACACACCACCCTTTACCTCAATGGACGAAGTAATAACATACCAGAATGATCCCGATGCCAATGCGACAACTGCACGACCTCCACGTCCGCCAAATCTGGCCGTAGCCGCTTCACATTCCTCTCCCAGGCGTCGCCTTCAGGTCCGGCGTCGAAGAGGATCGTGTGTTGTTTGTGGTCTTTTGTTGCGGTCTGGGGTTTTTCTCAGCTTCCAAGATCCAGAGAGGAGGGCAAAAGATGATAGGAAGGGTATAACGCACCACAAGAATCGACAACCCATGCGCAGAGCAGCATATATCCTCCATTTGAAGCTCCTTATGCGCATCGCCCCGGTCATGGATTTCGTGCGGAGAGGATGTTGCTAGCGTGCGCATTAGACCGGTCACTTCTACTGTGTCTGGCGGGATGGGGGACATGGGGTCCAGGTCGTTGTCGATGAGGATGGTGGCTTCGAGGGAGTCGAGGGCTACGAGGGAGGAGGCGGACATCTTGCTTTGGATTTGTTTGCGTGTGTGTTTGGATGCTTTTATTTATGGGGGTGGTTTAGGTCGGATGAAAGAATGGTGTTGGGTTTGAGCGGGATGTGGGAAGATGGAGTTGGTGTATGGAAGAGGGGAGGGCAGGGGTTCGTGGTTAGTATGGGTTCATGGGTTTGTGCATTACTAGTTGGGAATTTGTTTGAGGGGATGTAGCATCATTAGAGGACAAGGATTACAGTAAGCTGTAAAGGTGGATGATTGTTGGAGGCTCATCTCATCTCAGGTGACGTGCAGGTGACGCTTTGGTGCCTTAGGCTGCATTAGAGATCGCCAGATGCAATCTGAATGAATCAGTGGATATCAATATATCTAATTACTAGACATCAAAAGATACAGATAGCGATAGATACTTCTAGAACGACTAAGATAGCCAAGTCCATTACTGTGCTAGTGTGGTGTGGCACGGCTTGACTTACACCGACTCTTCTACTACCACTCTACTCCGTACTCTGCAACTCATCATAGCTATGCACATCATTCGTTTAAACGTTATATACATCACGGGCAGTAACATGTTGTGATCAGCAAAGGGCAAGGCTCGTGTCTACGTCTAACCCTCAACGCATATCGCTGATAGGGCAACATCAAAGCTCAAAGCAAAGCACTGCTTCTATCCAAGGGGCGAGGACACCTCCCGGCAGATAACAGCCAGTTTCACCAGGCGCGTGCTCTGGCTGGATTAGGAATCTCGTCTCCAAACTTCTCCTGCCGGCCACATGCAGACCGGACGCGGTCAGTCTGGGCCTGACACGTTTAGACGACCATGCATCCAGCTCTTGCCACGCGAGAAGTCACTGCCGTTGCACCGAGGCGACAAAATGGGAATAGGGGATGGGCGAGGTAAAAATGTGACCAAAAAGCCCCGACGCGTCTACAGACCGGTCTTGCCCAACACGTCGGCAAGCTTGTCGACATCGTCGTCCTTCTTCTGGGAAACCTTTTCGTTCTCGGCCGCCTCGTCGTCCTTGACAAGCTTCTCGGCCTTCTCTTCCTCTTCCTCCTCCTCTTCTTCCTCCTCTTCCTCGCTCTCCTCCTCCTCAAGTTCGTCCAGCTCGTCGACACCCCACATGTCCTCCGGGTCATCGTCCTGGCCGTGCTCCTCCTGACGGGCCTCCAGGATCTCGCGCAGTTCCGTCACGTTGTTGTCATCCTCGTTGAAGATGTTGCCGTTCAGCTCAATACGACGCAGGGCAGGAAGGGCAGTCTTGGTGGCGTGCAGGAACTGCTTGACACCCTCGGCGGTGATCTCGTTGTACTGAAGACGCAGCGTCTGGACCTTCTGGTTCTTGGCCTCAGCCAGAGCCTGGGCGACCTTGACGCCACCACGGCCGGACAGCAAGCAGTCACTGACACCGAGCTCGCGGAGAGAGGGCCAGCTGGACACCACACCAGCAAGAGCGGTGGAGCCCATGATGGTGAAAGTGTTGTCCTGCAAGTCGAGAACCTCTAGAGCAGAGCAGTGGCGAAGACCATCCTTCAACAGCATCGAGATACCCTCCTGACGGATACCGTTCTGTGTCATCTTGACGGAGCGCATGCCGGCAGCGTGCACCTCGTAGGCACGTGCCCAAGCCGCCATACTGCCGTTCTCCAAGCGATTGCGACCGCAGACGATGCTCTCGAGAAGAGGCACCTCCTTGCCCTCCTTACGGGCCTCCTCCTTGCGCTGAGCCAGCTCAGTAAGCGCCTTCGCGATGTTCGAACCAGCCTCGGGGCCCATGCCGTTGTTGTTGAGGATCAGGTGGCGGAGCGGGGTGTGGCGAGCAAGGAAGTCGACGAGGGGCTTCTGGGTGTTGGCGCCGAAGGCATTATCGGAGAGGTTGACGGTGTGGAGGGTGGTGATTTCGAGAAGGGCATTAAGGAGGAAGGTCAGAGCGTCGGGGATTTCGCTCAGCAGACGAGAGGTGAAGATGTCGGCAAGTTCAGCCACTTCGAGGCTCTTTTGCGTAGAAAGCACAGCGGCGAGACGCTCGCAAGCAGGAACACCCAGAGTGTTTCCTCCGAAGCGGATCTCAGTGTAATCGGTGGCTTCGAGAAGAGGCTTGATGTGAGACTCGATATCCTCAGCGGAATCGAGCTTGAGGCCTTTGCCCTCGATAGAGAAGACCTTTGGAGGGGCCATGGTGGGGTAAATTTCAGGGGTGGAATTGCACAGTGCGATGCAGAAAGGGTGCAAAAGAATCAAAGTAGCAGGACTCGATGGAGATCCTTGTAAGCAACGGCTGAAGAGTAGCAGGAAAAGCAAAGACAATGAGCGTGGGAGGCAATGCGACCGTGGAGGGGCAAAAAGTGAAGAAAGAAAGAAAGACTTGATGAAGCAGCGGGCCGTGATGCAGCATTCCCCTGACAACCCAATTATTTCCGTTTGTTCCCATAAATTTTCCCCGACCGCCGCTCCGGCCGACTGCAGACACCATCTCCGCCGTTTCCGGGCAATCGCATCATTATTCAGCATCTTTTCGTCTTGCTCTGCCTCCGACTGCTGTTCGCTTTCATCGTCTATCCTGTCGCTCTCTGTCCATTGTCCTTCACTGAGTCTGTTTCTTCAGTTGAATTTAGTTCTTCATCATGTCGTGGTTGTTCGGTTCCTCCAACAGTATGTATCTCCCATCCATGCTCGCCGCATGCTCCATACCTCTTGTCTCGCTAGTATATCGGAGTCATTCAGAGCTGACAATTCTCCCTGACAACAGCTGAGAAGGCTGCTGCCCCTGCTCCTGCCGAGTCGGCGCCCGCGGAGAAGCCCAAGGTACGCTCATGACAATGCGACACAGACAACCAGTCCAGAATGCCCTAACCCAGTCACAGCCATGCTGCGTTTGCAAGACCGAAAAGACCGCCCGCGATGACTGCATGCTCTTCTCCAAGACCGACGACCCCACACAGGAGTGCAAGCCCTTGATCGAGCAGTACAAGGCCTGCATGGCCGGCTACGGCTTCAAGGTCTAAGCTGCACCATACCCGACTGCTGCCGGGACAACTGCACAACGAGGATGATACATAGAGTTCAGCGCATGCAAATATGGTGTTCGGTTATGGGTTTATTCTGGGTTACATGTATTGTATAGGTCATCGTCCGACGTGGAGCATCTCCCTTCTTGTGCAATAAATGTATATTATCTATGTCATTATGTTCTGGGAATATTGTAAGAAGAGAAGGCTTAAGCAGCCGCTTTTATCTCTGCCAGGCGCAAGAAGCACAACGCGCAGTCTATCGCCGATAAGATCTGCCCAAGGCAGTCCCGAACATCAAAATGGGTATCACGAGAGAATCAAGTAGACTATGAAAGGAAATCACCGCCAGCAACCTCACTGGTTCTTCTTCTCCGTTTCCTCGACTGCCTTCTGGTCGATCCTGCGGCACTGCTGGATCAGTTTCCAGAAACACCACAGATATGCAATTCCAAAGCCTCCAGCACCGATGAGGGCATTCAGTACCACCCACAGATCCGGCTTGCCAGGAGGGGGTGCCACAAAGGCCTCAAGAACGTGCCATGCAATCATAGCAAGGTAAAAGCAGGCGTGCAGAAGTTTGGTCAGCACATGAAGCTCGGCGCCCGGGGTGGTGTCTTCCAAAGAGGCACGGCGGCGGAATGTTCCAAACGAAGTTGGAGGGAGTCCCAACAGGTAGGCCCAAAGCAAAGTCATGACGAAGTAGGGAATCCGAAGCTCGTCACGCTGCAGAAGAGGATACATGGTCCACGAGCCAAGCATGTTGGCCCAGCCCACCCAGGCCCGAGTCTCTCTACTTAGTCCGCCATCTCCAGCCAGGAGAAGAGTCATGGGAAGCAAGGGGAGGAGAACACTCTTCTCATGCACCTGGAATGAGAACAAGAAGAAGCCCCAGGCTACACTTGACAGGGCTGGGAGAAGTAGCGATGCGCGCGGGTGACGGAAGATGATGGCGCAGGGAACAGCAATGGATGCTAGCGTCGCTCCAAGGGACATGCGTTGGAGCAGAGTGGCCTCGAAGCGGTGAAGTTTGTAAAACGTATGGATGGCACACCACGCATTAGCAACCTTGTCCTCGAACAGGCCACGAGCAAAGGGAAAGACGCGGTGGATAATTTGAGTCAGCTGGAAGATAACTGCATAGAGCATTGAGCTCTTGTCCAGCTCGACCGGGAGGATCTGCAAAAGCGGAGGCGGAGGGGCAAATGCCAGAGTTGCTTGCGCCTCGATACCGATCGCTCCAATGAGCATTGGAGCAAGCAGGACAGCGAATGCGACAAGGGTGACAAGAGAAATGCTGATGAGACGGAGGAACCGGATCTTGGGGAAGATGCAGACACCAAGGAGGAAGGCGAACATGACCGGAGCATAGTACAAGGCCATCTGCTTGAAACCAAGAGCACCCACGAAGAAGATGCAGGCCCATAGCATGCGTCCAGCTAAGATGGCATCCAAGCTCGCAACAACCAAACCCAGCATCACCGTGTTATATTGGAAGTGTCCGTGGTCGATGAGGATGGTAGCGGGCTGTAGGAGGATCGCAGTGAGGGCAATTGAAGCAGACCAAACCGGAACGCTCTGCATGCGAGTGAAGCGGCGCAGGAAGGTAACGACGGCCGGGATGTAGACAAGGTATTCCGAAGCAATCACTGTTCCGCGCATGAACACCTTCAACAAGGGATCTTCAATGCCACGGGACTGGTCCAGGGCAAACCATGTGGGATCAAAGAGAGAACCACTGTTCAGTCAGTCTATAACCACGACCAATCGGAGCAGCATGACGTACAGTTTTCCAAGCAACCAGCTGTGGTATGCAGTCAACGGCGGGTAGTCCAACCCCCAGTATTGCAGATCGTATAGATACCATTTGGCAATGGGCAGATGAGTCGTGATTTCCATCCAATGCCTCTGTGCTTCAAAGTCACCATGCATAGGGGGTACTCCGAAGCCTGTGACCGTTAGTATGTGGCGCCTGGGTATAGGAGATGGCAGTAAGTTGCGTACCAGAATATCCCCACAAACTGACAGCCCAGCGAAACAATCCCACTGCCATCAATATCAAGGGTAGAACGAGCCATTGTGAGACACCAGCGCGAGCAGACCAGAGGAAAGACACCAATGGGAAAGCTGGAGAGGCTTTCCCTCCAGCGTCAACAATGAGAGAATTGTTAGAGCCGGCGAAAGACGAGGGAAGCTTTCTCTTCTTCCGCGGACGGTAAGAGGACGGGGGAGGCGCCATGATTCACGAGCAATGGACCAATTCAAAAGAGTTCCATTGACTGCGTGTAAATGTCGAGCAACCGTGACAGGTCCAAATGAATGACAGGTAGTTGGAGTCGATAGTTAGTGGACTGGCTGGATGTGGTTGACTGCGGAGGGACACTCTGGTTCCAACGGTCTGCCGGTGGACCAATGAGAGGACCGGTCGGAGTCGGGCCCAGTCGGGTTAGTCTCCCAGCCAGTTCCCCACTTAGTTCCTGGGCTAGCCTAGCTGCAGCAGGCGGTAGGTGCTGTTGATTTTTTTCTGCCAGCCTCCAAATTTTTTTTTGCGTTCAGTCGCCTTATCAGAGCTGCTCCCCAGCTGGATTTTTTCTTCTTCCTTCATTCCTGTCCTACTCTTCCCCTTCACCTTTTTCCATCATTTTTTATCACTCTTCTTCACTTGGTTGTCTCTTCAACTAAGTGTTCATCTCTTTTCATTGCATATCTAACGGTGCGCTTCAACAGACACTCTGTGGGCTTCTTGCATTGAGGGCTGTGGGCTGTAGCATACTACATCTATTCTGTGGGATCTGTGGGATACTCTCGTGGGTTTCATATCATAGACGGTAGCTTCCCTGTCGTCTCGTGTGGGCTTAGACACTGTCGTTGTGGGTTACCTGTGGGTATTTGAAAATTTCCATTACAAATCGGGTGATTGTGGGATTATAAGATCTGCCGCACATTCCTAGCTTTTCTCTGTATACTTGCTTAGTTTACAGTTTATTTGGTTCGTCTCTTCCCTTCTTCCTATTACTCTGTCTATTGTCTCTTGGACTAACCTCTGTTCCCTTCAGATCAAAATGTCCAAGACCAAGTCCGTTACCAAGAAGGGCTCTGAGAAGCCGGTTGACAAGACCCTTAGCAAGGTCAAGTCTGCTGGTGTGACCAAGTCCTCCCAGTCCCCCAAGGCCAAGAGCAAGCAGATTGCTCGTGAGGTTGCCTCCAAGGAGAAGAAGGACAAGAAGAAGAAGAAGGAGCCTACTCCCAGCGAGTCTTCCGAGTCCGAGTCCGACAGCGACGAGGAGATGGCCTCCGACTCCAGCTCCAGCAGCGAGAGTGAGGACGAGAAGCCCGCCAAGAAGACCGAGAAGAAGGGCAAGAAGGTTGAGTCCGAGTCCGAGTCTTCCGAGTCTGAGTCTGAGTCGTCCGACTCTGACAGCGATGAGGAGATGAACGACGCCTCTAGCAGCGAGAGCGAGGAGGAGAAGCCTGCCAAGAAGACCAAGGAGGAGCCCAAGAAGGCTGCTAAGAAGGCTGAGTCCAGCGACTCTGAGTCTGAGTCTTCCGACTCTGACTCCGAGTCCGAGGATGAGAAGCCTGCTAAGAAGGAGACCAAGAAGGCCGAGTCCGAGTCTGAGTCTTCTGACTCTGACTCCGACTCTGAGTCTGAGGAGGAGGCCCCCAAGAAGGCCGCCAAGAAGGAGTCCAGCGAGAGCGACTCTGACTCCGACTCTGACTCTGAGAGCGAGGAGGAGACCAAGGAGAAGAAGGCCGAGAAGGTATGCCATCTATTCCTTTCACTTAACAGTTTGATGCTAACGTCCCCAGGAGTCTTCCGACTCTTCTGACTCTGACTCCGACTCTTCCGACTCCGACTCTGACTCCGAGTCTGAGGAGAGCGAGAAGCCCTCCAAGAAGCGTAAGGCTGAGGAGGAGACCTCCGCTACCCCCAAGAAGAGCAAGACTGAGGACCCTGCTCCTGGTGCTTCCGCCAACCTGTTCGTCGGTAACCTGTCCTGGAACGTCGATGAGGCCTGGCTCCAGTCCGAGTTCGAGAGCTTCGGTGAGCTCTCCGGTGTTCGTATCATGACTGAGCGTGACACTGGCCGCTCTCGTGGGTGAGTACTTCCGTCTTCCATATTCATCAAGCTATTGCTAAACTCTTTCAGTTTCGGTTACGTTGAGTACACCAACGCCGTCGATGCCGCCAAGGCTTTCGAGGCCAAGAAGGGTGCTGAGATCGACGGACGTGTCATCAACCTGGACTATGCCACTGGCCGTCCCGCCAACAAGGACCAGCAGGGTGGTTTCAAGGACCGCGCCAACGCTCGTGCCCGTTCCTTCGGTGACCAGGCCAGCCCCGAGAGTGACACCCTCTTCGTCGGAAACCTTCCCTTCGACGCCAACGAGGACTCCGTCGGCGAGCTGTTCGGTGAGAAGGGTAGCATCCTCGGTATCCGTCTGCCCACCGACCCCGACTCTGGCCGCCCCAAGGGTTTCGGCTACGTCCAGTACTCCTCCGTCGATGAGGCCCGCGCTGCCTTCAACGAGCTCCAGGGTGCTGACCTGCTCGGACGCCCGGTGCGTCTGGACTTCAGCACTCCCCGTGCCAACAACGGCGGCGGCGGTGGTGGTGGTCGCGGTGGTGGCCGTGGCGGCTTCGGCGGTCGTGGCGGTGGTCGTGGCGGTTTCGGTGACCGTGGTGGCCGTGGCCGTGGTGGCTTCGGTGGCCGCGGTGGTGGTGCCCCCAACAAGGCTCGCGGTGGTATCCCCGAGTACAAGGGCACCAAGGTCACCTTCTAAGTCAGTGTGTAAGAGTACTAACCGACGTATACCTATGTTTTTCTAGACTGCTTTTTTGTTTTGGGCAATGGGTTATGGTTCCGGGGTTATTGTCATTATTCCTCACTGTTTCTGGTACCCCAAAAGTTGTCTGCATTATGTCACGCTAGCTAGCTAGGTAGCTAGGTAGCTATGTGCCTGTTTTATCTAGGTAGCATACCATACCAATTTAATGAATGGCTATGACCAGAATGATGTTACTTTTCTTGTTTTCTTAAAGGCAGTCTTTGTTTGGGTGAATGGGGTGGCACGGATCGACCAGATCTGCTGCGAGTGCGTGATGGTGGGCCTATCAGCGGGAAGAGGCAGCGGGGGGAACAAGTCAGCTGTGCAGTTGGGAAAAAGGCTGGTTGAGGGTCGGATGATGGACCAGCCCTCGTGCTCGTCTCCCCCTTCTTATTCTCCCCGTTCTCTCTCGCTTGTTGCTCGCGTCTATTGTTGTCCTTGGATTATCCCGTTCAACCTGAGTGAATAGAAAGAAGAACAAGCAGCAGGAGAAGGTATCTTCTTTGATTGAACTCCAGGTTGGATGCTGGAGAACTGACAGGGAACTTAAACCTAACTCAACCTATTTATTGATACTTTCTTCTTCTTCACGGTAACTGCCAGCATCCACTTGCCCACTTAAGTACTGATAAGATAATCTTAACGGATCCTCCCCCCCCCCAATCAACCATTCAAAACTGAACTGTTGCATCCCAAACCCCCGCCCTTTTCTGACCGCTCAGCGTATGAGCTGAACGGTCCGCTTGCATTCCCCGTGGTCTGAGGATTGACTGACCGTGTGTTGCCTGCCTGGTCACTCATCTCATCTCATCTCATCTCATCTCATCACCGCACTTCTACTTCTACCTTCTTATTTATTCTTCTTCTTTCCTTACTCTACTGTTTCCATCTCCTCCTCCCACCCCCTCTCGTCACTCTCCCTCTCTCCTTATCCTTATCCTTCCTCTTCACATCATGCAACCCAACCACTATGACCTACTGGGTCAGGTGCACGATGACCCTCGATCGGTCGGGCGACTGACGCGAGAAGCCCATCAGCCGCCGTCGCGCGAGCCTCACGCCTTCCAGCAGTCCCGGTCGCCTGCTGCTGTTGCGCCCACGAGATCCGAAGGTGCGTCATCTTGGTTTTCTCCAGATATCTGCCCTACGCCTGGCATGTCTGCACCTTTCCCCTGCATCTTCATTCACTCCGATCTGCATGCGTTGCCAGTCCTCTTTCAAAAGTCACTATTATTTGTACCACCACCATGTACTCACTACGTTATTATATAGATTCCTGGATCGAGGTCTCCTCCCAGCCCTCCTCCTCTTCCCTCTCCTCTGCCGGCACCAACGACGATATCATTACCACCGGTCTCCGCGTCCAGCAGGATGAAGCTGGTGCATACCATCGCAGCCGACGGCGCCGTCTGCAGCGGCTGGCTGCCGTCACCACCGCCCAAGTCGACTACTCGTCCCGCGAACAAAGCAGTAGTCAAGACGAATACGAGGAGAGTGAGAGCGAGTCGGACCGCGTCCTCAGCAGTTCCAACGAGGACATGGTCCGTCAAGCTTTACCCACCCCGTTCGTCCCGGGACCTGGCCCCTCTTCGACCGCTTCCGATGATGCCAGCGATGAGGATGATGATGATGATGATGACAACTCGACGGCGTTGGGAATGCGTATGGGTTCAGCTCCCTTTGTTCCTCAGCCCAACGTCTTCTCGCACCCACCTGCATCTCAGAACACCTCTTGGAGGCCTACCGGGGGACACCGCTCACAACCGAGTGAGGTGTCCAACTCCAGCCGTCGCACAGCGATCCGCAGAAACTCTCAAGCAAGTATACGCTCCGCACGGAGATCCTCCCAGCAACATAGTCCATTCAATATGATCTCACCGTCCCACCACGCGGATCACGACGCCGCTCTGCGTGCCAGTCTATCCACTTTGCTCTCCTGTGCCGCTGCGGCCCGCGGTCTGCCCAAATCCGACCCTCCCCCCTCACAGGCCAGTCCTTCTCGAGGCCACCCATCTTCCTTCCGCTTAGTACCGGAGTCAGTAGCGATGGGAGGAGAAGTTGGCGAGGAAGCCGTAGGGACGGAAGCGACTGTCCCCACTCGGACCCCGCGGCAGGGACCCACTCCGCAGCCGGCCGCATATTCACCCCACGATGTCCAGTCGGCCCCTCGAGCCAAGCGGCGGTCCAGCCCATCCAAGGAACGTAGCCACTCCTCTGCAAAGAAGGGCCGTCGAGCCAGCATAGCGGATGCTTCGACTGCCAGTCCCACCGTCATGACCTGGGTGATCAGCGCGGGTGTTGTCGTCTTGTTTTCAGCCATCAGCTTCTCCGCCGGCTACGTGCTGGGCCGCGAAGTCGGACGCTTGGAGGCCAGCACGGGAATGACCGTGGCTGGCGATACTGGCGTGC